ACTGCCTGAGGCTAACAAGAAAGTCGCCCAAAGCACCATAAATGGCATATATCCATGGCCATGGCTTTGACTTTCTTCTTCCAGACTTTCACACCCCCCCCCAACAAATGAAGTCACGTGTTTATATGTAATTGGGGTAAAGTGGTATATCTTGTTTTGTATTTAATTTCTCGGTTAAGCACTGGTATTTTTCCAGGTAATTTAAAAAATAGATGAGCGTCCCTTCCTTCCCTACCAGATCAGGATGCGTTCTCCCCCAGCTTCCTCTGCTAAGACCCGTTTTTCCTTTGCTCATACAGAGCTCTTACCTTCCTACCTCTGTGGATGGCAGAGTCTTGCTCTTGTGTTTAGTCCCTTGCTTTCTAGTGATCCCCTGGATCCAGACAAGCATGCCATCTTTTAAATCTGATTCTCTGCTTGTCAGCCCAGTGCCTTTCTTCCCTGCCTGAACTACTGTTATCTCCACCAGAGCGACTCAGAACAGCCACATTAGTCTCAGCATGGTGTATGATGCAAGCTACTTAGTCAGGGCTCCTGGCTATTGTGGTGAGAGGTCTTCATACTTCTTAGTTCAGCCAAGACCTGACCAGGCACTGGTTGCTGAGAATTCTAATCCAGTGAGTTAAATAATACCATGGTTAAATCCATCTGAAGATGATACACACTGTCTAGGCTTCTAGAAACTTACAGTGACCATTAGCACATTACAGCTTTGAAAAGCCTTCTAGCTAACACACCTAGCTAGTTAACTTGTTTAGCCCAGAACTTATATAACATTTCAGGGAGCTAATGACTTAAGAAACACACTCCAAAAAGTGCTACTTTGTCCCATCAATGAAAGAACAGTGTTATCCTTTGTCAGGGACTTTGGTGTAGTTCCATATAGACTATTAGCTGGTTTACAATTAGCTCTGAAATGCATCTAGTTAGATTCTAGTCCCATTAACGACAACAACAACAAAATTCCTCAGACCCTTAGAGCAGTGGTTTTCAAGCTACAGGTTACAACCCCTTTCACAAACCTCTATGTCCAAAAACATTATGATTCATAACAGTAGAAAAATTATAGTTATGAAGTGACAATGAAAATAATTTTATGGCTGGGGTCACCACAACACAAGGAACTGTACTAAAGGGTTGCAGCATTAGGAAGGTTGAGAAGCACCGCCTCAGAGTATTCTTATTTTCAGAAACGTGTTTAATATTTCATATCCTACACGAGAAGTGACTTTTTAATACATTTATTCTCCCCAGTATGGCTACAGTGAATAAATATAGTAAGTAATCTTTTCCATTTCATAGTAGCTCATTATTCATACAATTTTTACTTGGATTCTCTCTGACCTTGAACCCACTCAGTGGAAATGAAGGCCTGGGTGACTGAGCAAAGTGGCAAACTGATAAACCAGAGGTGTGAAGCAAAACCAGGCTTCTGACTCAGTTTCTCCCAAGCTGAGTGCTACAGGGAATTCATCTCATATGTTTCAACATATTTTCATATTCCCTTCCCATGATTTATACTAGCTCTCAACACCAGGCTTAGAATGTAAAAGTACACCAGATATAACATTTTTTAGAGGATATTTACTGTCAGTGGTTATGCTACCCTACACCAGGGCAAGAGTAAAACTGTAATCTGAAATAACTGATCATTTGGAAGGCCGTCAGAATTGAGGAGAATATGGGGGCAACAGGAAATGCATTTCCAATGACTTAGTCTGAAGAAAGAGTTGATTCATTTTCTGAGGTACTTGTTGAAATACATGGGAAGTGAATCTTAAAATCACAACCAAGAAACATTGCCTCTGGGTGTATGACAATATTATGGTTTCATAAATTTAGGTTAAACAAGGATGTCTCAGTTGTGATCTGGGTTATGGGTAGGATGCTGTATATAACAGGGATGACCTCAGAGACCTCATAAAGTTATGGGATATAAGAATAAGGCTCTTGGATACGTAAGCACTGTTGTTTTAGTAATGTTCCCAGGCCCCAAATTAAAATACCCAGAGACAATGGCAATTAGCAAAACAGCCACTTATTTGTGTTTAGATTAAATCTGTAATTCTGTATCCCTTTCTTTTGTAGCAGTAGCCAAGGAACAAAATGTTGGTGCCCATGGTACTCTTTGCAAACCCACAATGTGTTAAGGGATTGTCTCATACATATTAAAATACTCATGAGCCTTTAAGCTGACTAAACTTTCCACAATAAGATCATAAAGTAAAATTTTATTTTAATTGTCTCGAGGTAGGAAACAGACATGCTTTGAGAGATGATAGTTCTACATGGTTGACATTTCTCTCTTTGTTAACATCAATGCATTTCACTGTGGAAAGAGTCCTTCAGTGTGTCACATAAAGTTAACACACAATTATGTTTCTAAAAAAATCTGTATTCCACAATCCGTTTAGATTATGGACATATGGTGGATTTGGGATCTATAAACCAAGAGAGAGAAGACTTGGTCCAAAGGGGCACAATCTCTTGGCAAGAAACAGTGAAACCTTAGATATATTCTTTTTCAAAATAAAAAAAAAAATTAGGTGAACTAAAAATGTGCCAAGGTTCCTTTCTATCTTCACAGTGAATGAATAATGAAAAAGAATGGTTTATTTTTTTTCTGAATAAAAAGTTTAGTAACCTTTTATGTTTCAAATTACATGCTATAACCACAATAAACCAAGTTAAGATGTCTCCAAAATATTCTCCTACACTCTAAACTTAGGAGTAGCTATTGCTGAAGATGAAGCGAGTGGACTTTAATTCCTGGCCGGGTGTCTGAGTGGCAAGGTTATCTGTGGCATGTGACAGCCCTGGCACAGGATCAAAGTGATCTCCCAGAGACTGTCCTGAGGCTCACTCTCTGACCGTGGGCGGTCGGGAGATTCAGTGCAGCCAGGCTCTCCCCTAGCCTCACACTGTCCCGCCTAACACTGCTGGCTTCTGCCCGTAAACTTCAGTACTGTTTTGAACCCTCACTGTTTATGTCTGTGTGAAGAGGAAAACATTCAGAAGGACTCTTTAGAGAGAGGAACGATTAAAAGGAATACCTGGAAAAATGTCCTCTCCATCAGTGTGTGTATTTATGCTATGCTGACAACTTTTCATGATCAGTGAAGGCAGAAAAACAACGTAGATGCCACAGTTGGATGAGTAAACATCACATTATAGGATGACCACAAAAAGACAGGACAATACAAAGGAGAGACAACACACACAGGAAGATGATTACAATTTCAAACCCAAATAGTCATGCACATATGAGAAGTGTATTTTGAGATCTACCATCTATTTCCCCTAAAACGTATGCAGACTGTCTAAAACATGCACAACTTCAACAGAATGAATCTCAGCCTTCCTTTAAATGGACAACAGCCCCAAAGTGGGGGGGAAACTGATAATCTCATGTAGGCTGGAAGCAGTTTAAGTTTTCTCTTGGGAGGAACCACAGTCATCATGGCAGCCGGGGAGACAGCTCAGCCAGTACCGTGCTTGTGTCCAACCCCCAGGAACCAGGTTAAAGATGTAAATCTGGGCCTGGTGCACTTATAACCACCATGCTGGACAAACAGAGAGAGATGGATGCCAGTACCTCACCAGCTAGCCAGCCTAGTCTATGGGCAATTCCAGACCTATGAGAGACCTGTCTCAAAAGAAAAAAAAAAGTTGACTCCACCTGAGAAACAACAACAAAGTTGTCCTGCAGTCTCCACATGCACACACATACAAGTATGTACCCCCCCCCAACACACACAGATTACAAACACCAGTATTCTATTTAGCTCAAAAAATATTACAATGACATTTAATTTAAATGACATACTTTGGCTCCCTCATGGGAAAAAGCATAAATTAGTGATAAAAGAAAGCTAAAGGGGTGACAGACATTGTGAATGCACAGGACACTACGTATACGTGAACTGTAACAGGGCAAGCGAGTATACACAAGCAGACCGTACAAATGTACCTATTTTCATCTCCCTCACGCTTACTTTTCTTTCCATAACCTGTCTCCACTGGTGGTTTTAGCCTCTGCTCAGTCCCTGTGAAGGGCTAAGAGCTTTAACTGAGGCCCATCTCCATGCTACACCAGCTGACAGCCTGTACGAGGGGCAGGCATTCAGCCTCATCTGAGTCCCTGATGTAACCCTCCAGCTGGCAGTCTACACCGCTTCCTGTTTCTGTGCCTCCTTTAACTATGATGCCTCCCGTCCCTCATTTCCTTTCGTCCAGTTTCACTCGACAAGTCTGTAAAATATCTGACCCCTTCAAGCCATCGCTAGAACAGTGTACACAAATCCCATTCCAGTCATTGACATAGGACCCCAGTTAACTACCAGGACTCTTCTTTCTCACTGGACTAAACTTTATCCTTGTGAGCCCAGTATCTAACAAGGTTTGTCTCCCCAAAGGATGCCTGAACGTATTCTCTTAATGAAAGGACACTTAGGTTAAAAGTTAAATAGCATTAGACATACTCAGTTCCCCACTTTTGAATGCTACCAAGTAGAGCCGACTATGCCAGGAGAGTTCCCACGGTGAGTAGGAGCTGGGATTTGCTGCCTGACTTTTGTAAGTCATCCCTCCCATCTACACACATTCTCTCCTACTTGCCCAACCACACTGACTCTTCACACAGTTTTCTGTACTGTACACCAATCACCATGGAGGGAACTAATCAGCTAGCCCTTTTTATCAGTTGGGTTTCCTAAAAACATGGCCTAAGGTGGAACATCATCTTAAAAGGTCTAGTAAAAGAAAAAAATTAAGGCTGAAGAGATGGCTCAGGGCTAGTGACAGCTGTGACAGGGCTAGGACTCAGGTTTGATTCCCAGCACACACATGGTGGCTCACAGCCAACTGCAATTCCGGGTCTGGGGAATCCAATGCCCTCTTCACCTGGCGTGGACACAGCACACAGTGCACACATGAAGACAAGGCACTCACCCACATTAAATAAATAAATCTTTAAAAAGGTAAGTATGCATGTGACTTACTGAATACATCTCCTCTGGGTTTCTGAGGATCCGTCTGTAGCCCATTGTCAATGGTAGTAACTCGAGTAGCTGTACTGGTAGCAGGCGCTGTAGTAGTCGGTCTGGTGGATGGCCTTTCTGGGGTTGGTGGTAGTGGAGTTGTTCTGAGCTCTGTTGGGAGGGGGTGGGGGTGGGGGTGGGGGTGGGGTAGGCTGTGGAGTTGGATTTGGTGTAGGTCTTGTTGTTGGCCTATAAGTGGGCCTGTTGGCAATGACAGGAGGAATATGCGGTGTCTTCAGGGGCCACCGCGTACTTCCCGCATCAGGAATCCTATTAGCATGTCCTCCATCACCCTTTAAGATTGTACCATTTCTCTCCGGCACGTGAACTGGACCTGACGGCTCAATCATGACCTTGGGGATGTCTGAAAAAAAAAAATTCAAAGATTAAATTAGCATGAAAATGTTCCCCTCTAAAAATGTGCAACAGAAACTGCAAACACACACATGCACAGAAACACCTCGTGCTAACTAGTCCTGTTTTTCACATTCACCATATTCTTGTCTATAAGAAGTCACACTATTTTCTGAATAACAAATGCATGTGTGTGTGTTAGGATACATGTAAAAACATACTGGTGTTTCTATAATGAGCATGTATTATTTGAAACACAAAAATGTTGTCAATATTTATAAAACGGTAGCAACAGAAGTCAGTATTTTTCAAAAATGTGGACAGATTACACTTTTGTGAGAAATGCAGTCTGTGTTGTATGTCCTGCGTGTGTTATGTTGCCATGTTTAAAACTCCTCACACGAGGCAGATACTTCCTCACCTCTACTTTAGACGTATTTTAGTTGTGCAAAAAATAGTTTTATAGTTGGCTGTTTTTCATATTTACTGATTTATATTTGCTTTCTAAAAATGTTTTCTGAAGTTAAAAAATCATTTGTGGCATATTTCCCATTGATAATATCCACCAAAAGGAATCAATATTTAATCTGCCTGGAATGATATATTCCAGGATAGGAATGACTTCACAACACTTCAAAAACTCTTTAATCCACAGGATTTTATGCCCTGTGGTTTTTCAGTAAATATTTTACTCAGAAAATTTTTAAAAATTATCTAGTGTTACATGAAACGTGCAGTAAATTATGGCCTTTGGCTTGTCGAGCTTTCACCTTCAAGCACATGCACTTTTCATGTTTATCTAGTAACCCACTACTCCAAAGATAACTTAGAAAAATGTAAAAGCAAAGCAGCTTTAAATGTAGGGAAAATAAATACTGAAATTACTTTCGGTAGAAAACAAACATGTAGACTACATCCCAACTATCATAATGCAATGTTAACAATAGCTTTTTATTTCAGATTCAACAAACTCCAATTCCCAGGGAGGACCCCATCCTTTCTTTCTAGCGGAAAGGAAGCGACTACTAGACTGGACTCACGAAATTCTAAGTCATTTAATGCTAGAAAGCAGTTGTGAGTCTTTTTCTAAGTGATTTTACTGTTTATAGATCAGGTTGATGTTAGTAGGTATGAAAATCACGTCTTCAATAACCACTGTATACCCCATCTTCCTTAGCAACGGCCTTTATGCAGCCCCGTATTTCCTGAGAGCTGGGGGCAGGATTTACTCACACACACAGTTCAGCCCGTCACCCTCGTATCCATCTTTACATTTACACGTGTAGGACCCATGGATGTTGTAACATCGAGCAGAGCTGCTGCACTGGTGCTGCCCAAGGGCGCACTCGTCGATGTCTGCATCAGGGACAGAAAGACAAGTGGGGGTAGGTAAATGTGACGACATGAAATGCACACCACTACAGAGGTCCACATAAAACAGCAATGACCAGAAGGGATACAGCAGCACGGGTGGCTCCAGAATGGCTAGAGGTGAAGTAGACACTGCTCATGTAATGCCTGTAGCCTCCCCTGTCCCACAGTCCAATTATCGCCGCAGCTGGAGACTTCTCACTGCTACGGGAAGAAAGTGTATACAGGAACGGGACAGTTTCATTACCGTGGCATTGATATTTGCCTCCAATGTACATGAGGTCGAAACCAGTATGACACTTGCAGATGTAACTCCCAAACGTGTTGACACACTGCCTAAATCGAGGGCAGGGAGACTCTTCCGGTAGCACATTCGTCAATATCTAGAAACATAGGTTAACTGCATCTTAAGAGAAGCAAAGGCAGGTGTGTCATCATAACTGTCATTCCCTCGCCCTCTGGCTACCCTTGCAACAGACAGGAATTCCACATCTCCAGCTTTGAACTCATCCTCCAAAACCAAGCCCTTCCCCCCTCACACCCAACATCAGTAGGCACTATGCCGCATCTACTTGGTTGCTTGAGTTAGAAGCATGGACGCTAAACCTTTCGCCAACAACTCCTAAACTACCAAGCCCTGTTAATGCTACCTCTACAAACTTACTGGAACCTGTTTAGCACCCTTTGTTACCCCATTCCTACCCACCGTCTCCCGCTTTAGATCGAGACAGGAAGTCATGAAACTGTCAATCTTATCTCCTTCAAATCACTTCATCTCCCGAAAGGTTCTTTAATTTAAAAAAATTATGTTCTATGTATGGCTGTTTTGACTGCATATAGATATAAGCACCAAGTGCGTGCCTGGTGTCTGAGGGAGGCTAGAGGGGAATGGCTTCCCCAGAACTGGAATTCCGGATGCTTGTGAGCTGTAGTGGGAGTGCTGGGAATTCCGGAAGAGTAGCCAGTACTCTTAGCCGTCCACCTCTCCAGTCCCTTGGCAGGTTCTTTATATACCCAATGACCCAGGCCTAACTTTGGTACTTCCCTAATGATTATTAATAACTATTCCCTAATTATTATTCTCTACTGATTATTTTCTAAGACATTTTCTGGTTTTGTTTCTCTTACTACCTTATGCAAGCATTTAGCATGGTCAGTGATTTTATTAAATATTTATTTTTTGTCTTCCCCATTAGATGGTCAACTCCTTGAGAACCAAATCCTAGGGTGCTTTGTCTATTGCCATGCACTGAGTACTTAGCACAGTGCCTGGAATACAGCAACCACTTAGTAAATGGGTCTTAGTGACTGGCTCTGTGCAGGGCTCACCACATGCTGGGCACTGCTGACCTCCTCTGAGCTCTCTGAACACATGATCTCATTCAACACTCACAGTGACTCGATGCCCTATTATTTCCATTTTAAGGAAAGAGAGACCTAAGCGCAAAGAAGGGAAGTTCTTCTCCTAAGATTACATAGCTTGTGTGTAGCTCAGCCAGGTGCAGAAAGCCCAAACTCTGCCATAACCTATACTGTCATCTCAATGTTCTAGAAAGCAATGTGGTATAACACACAGAAACGTAGACTTGGTGACCCATTCAGCTCCATGCTCTCTTCTCTCTAGATCACAGAAACTGAGATTCACTTTTCCCGAACACAGTACTGTTGTGTTTCAGGGTTTCTGCAGACTTGGTCTGTGCTGTATGATGCTTGCCCCTCCCCCAGGTTTCAAAAACAAGATTGTGTCGATCCATTCATAGAAACCCTCTTCTAAAATACCCAATGTCTTCTAGCAGGTGGCTACGTACCTGACTAAGTAGCTGCCTTTTCCCTCATGCCTTCCACTGTACCTATGGCAGATACTTGGTGACTGAACTCACCCACACAGGTCCTCCCATCAGGAGCTAGCTGCAGGCCAGGGGAAGGACACTGGCATCGGATCTGTCCTTTGACAACATCACAGCCATACTGACAGTTCGCCATGGAACATGATAGCGCACCTGGAAAGAAAGTGACTGGTTGTCTCCAAGAGGTAGAGCACCTGTAACTTTAGCACTGTTTATCACATGTCCTGCATTTGGTGACACTGATTCAACAATGGGGAGTCAATTAACCAACACTCTAAGAAGGGTAAAACAGGGATAAAGGATGCTGTCCAATGCGGGATGGTGAGAAGTGGCCCTGTTCCAGCATCACCTGGAAAAGCCCTTTAATGTTTTCTAGGACTGGCAGGTAGGGAGAAAGTTTTCTCTGACACATATCTTCCAGGTAGAAGTGAGGCATTTCTGCAGATTACTCGAGTTAAATGCCATTCCTAGACAAAATATCTAAATATCTATCTCAACTACACACTGAAAGTCTCTATAGTATAAGAGAAGATTTCCTAGTAGTTCCACAACGTTAGGGGGACTCTAGAACCATTGTCAAATGCAATTAAAAATATATTTTCCTCAACCAAAAGTCCCAGTGATACATCTGTAAAGCACTAAATAAAATTAGCTACTGTTATTTTTTTATATAAAATTCATCTCAGTTAATTGGTAGTTAGGTAAAAATAAAAGTCAGAGGCCACTACTTGTTAATTATTACTGAAACTCAAGTTCAATTTTCAGCCTACAGAGAATTTTGGGTTAGTGTCCATCTTAAAAATACAATCAAGGGATAACAGGAAGCACCATACTAATCCCTTATAAAGATGCATGTGCAATGGATCCTCTTGGACCTGAGGATGTAGCTCAGTTGGTAGAGTGCTTGCCTAGTGAAGATTCGAACTCTAGCAGCATACACAAATAATGGTGGCAGTGCATGCCTATAATCCCAGGACTCGGGAGATGGAACAAGGAAGATTAGCCACTCAAGGTCACTCTCAACTATACAGCAAGTTGGAGGCTAGCCTGGGACATGTGAGACCCTGTTTATAAAATCTCATTTATTCTGATGTTATATTCACTGTCATTTAAAGCAGTTTTTCTTTTTACGTGGTCCTTAAATTTGGCGAGAATTTATTAAACTTAGAAGTGTTTATGAACAGAGCCAGTGGATGCTCTCTAAGCAACACCCCAGCGATGGTCAATATTCTCTCACCTGGGAAGGGTTTTCTATGCTGGGATACACATGCCGAGAAAAGCATTAGACAACGCGATTCTTGCTCTAGATACGATTTATAACCCACCCAATGTTGGCCTGCGAAGTAAGAGTGCCATGCGTATAAACATGCACCTCTCCTTTTGGTCTTCACGTCCTCAGGCACGCACACAAACACATTCACACGTCCTGTTCAGTAGAGATAAAGAGGCGGCTACCGAAGCACATCAGAAATCAAGCCTAGAGCACTTATAAAACGGTTAGGATGCTTGACATACTTGAGCAGGACCCGTCTGGCATAAGCATGTATCCGTTGAGACAGTAGCACTTGTAACTGCCGAAAGTGTTCATGCATCTGTGCTTACAGGGCCTCGGCTTCAGGCCACACTCGTTTAAATCTGCAAGGAATGAGGATTAAAGCAGGAAAAGAAATCACAAAACTCGGCAATGGTAGAAAATGTTTACAGTGCTTCTCGATATGGAAGATGAAGACCAAAAAAAAAAAAAAAAAAAAAGTCAAGACAGTGAAATCATTACTTCCATTAACAGATAAAGCCTGTGTGTTGTGTGTACCATCTTAACATGAACAGGACACTAGGAGCAACCAGATGTTGCCAGGACCATTATGGGTCTCTGATCCTGGGGGCGGGGGGCAGGTGGGAGCATCCTCCTCACAGATGTGTAGCTGTCTGTAATCTCCACAAAGAGCAGCAGTCACACCCCAAGGGTAGGGGCGTTCTACTATCCATCTCTCTGACGCCAGTAAGCTTAAAGTACCCGTGTCCTGTCATCGAATCACTCGTGATAATGGAATCCACTAAAGGGGATGCTTGACACTTTCCACTTCAGGGAGAACATGCAAACATTAAAACATTAGACGATGTGACATCTTCAAAGGACAGCTACGTTTTCAGAGGGGACAAGAACTGCGTGGAGCAGACCAATCACCACTACGACTTTGCTCGTTCAGTTTGATAGGTTCTGTACTGACCCTGGATTAAAGAAAATTCAGCTTTCTGTTTTACTAATGCACTCAAATCACAAAATAAGATGTTTAAAGCCTTCCAATATATTTCCACTCATCTGGCAGTTAAGAGGAGCACGTGGGAACACTGAGGGACAAAACGCCATTATGTATTTTATGTTTATTGGCTTAAATATCAATGTGAAATTAATGAATTCCACAATATAAAGGTTTTCCAGCACAAACTGAATGCTGCCTCAAGTCAACATAAAACTCAAAATGACTTAAAACACTGAAATAGTAATGTCCACAACACAGAACTCATTAAAAAGAAGCGTGACCACATGTTTATTTCGTCTGGAAACAGCAGAAGTACCCGATTAGCATAACTTAATTATCAATTTATCCTTATCACTGAATGAAAATACAGATAATACAGCTACAAAGTTGTTTCCAAACCGGATGAAAATGACCTGCTAGAGGCATGGAGATTTCACCGAGGCATCCAGTTACATCAGGGTTAAAGTCACCGATAAACATTACATCTAAGGGCATTTTCACATCTTACTGATTTCCCAGCTTGGTCTTCTTTTCTACCCTTACCACAGTGTAAGCACATCGCCAGCTGGGCAAAGTCTGCAGAGGTTAAATAAACGCCTTTGCCATTTCCTAGGTTTTCTTCAATTCTCTGCTTTATTGTCTTTTGCCCAGTCAAAGGTTTTCAAAACAGAATCGCATTTTAAGTACTTAAAAACAAAAAAACAAAACCTCTCTGTGCTCATAGGAGATACTTACTTTGTAGATTATTCTATCAAAAAAAGTTGAACCCTCCCCATGTTGAAATGAAGTAGCTAGCAATGAGCAGGACTGCCCGAGGTGAAATTCTACTCCCTGTTCATGCTCTTCTAGCTTACATTTAAATTTTTATTATACATTATTGTCTCAAGGTTTTGTTAGCATCCTTAACATCACCCGTGTGGAGTGGCACTGGCCTTTCCTGGAGAGAAGTGTTTAATCTGAGCGTACTATCAGACAGAATCTTTTCCCGGCCTGTGCTCAAAGGCATGCAACAAATCAGTACCTCAACAATAAGAGTGAGATTTGGTTCTGCATTTCCAGAGAGGGCTTTTTAAAGTATCAATTAAGATTCCCTAGTTTATTTTTAGAGAGCAACAGAAACTTCTGGAGGTTCCTTACTGGAACCAGCAGCTGTTTATAACCCCAGGCAGCTCATAAGCAAGGAGTATTTGATGCCAGTGGGAATCTCTCCAGACACCATGTCCCTGAGTAAAGCTGAAGCCTAGTGGAGACAGGGCTTCACAGCCTGGCTCCAAGGCTCGTCAATGAGCCTTTAGGATACCTTTGGAAATCCAGGCTGGGTTGCCAGGGCTCTTAAAGACTAACTTTAACCAGGTTAATCTTTTCCTTCTCATGGGGAAACTGCTTTGTGGTTAGGAATCTTAAAATTGAAAGGATATACAAGCTAACAAACTGTTACAGCTTTTTAAAAATGTGAGAATTACTCTATGAAAAAAAATTGGGGAAAGGAAGAAAACGGAGCATCCAGTGGGTAAAAAGGGAGCAGACAGTTGTATTGCCTGTTGTTAAATGTTACATAAAAATCCAAGCATGTGGAAAGCAACTTGAGAATGGCCCTAGCAGTTGTTAACGGGCTGGATGAGGTTCCCTTGACAGGTGGCCGGCGTTATGTTAGTGTTCCTGATGACCGCCTGGCCCCATGTCTATCAAACTTCACAATAACCCTTACAAGAGCCACTGCAGGCATGAAAAAACAGGGTTCCAGCCACCGTTCATCAGCACTGGTCCAGTAACAGGTCCTGATGAGTAGGAACAACAAAGCTCCGGGCATCCTGTTGAAGAACCTCCTCCACTTCCATTTTCTTCCAAGTTTCTAGTCTATATTTATCCCACCTTACTTTTTTGTTGACCCAAAGCCTTACAAAACTGAGTTACTATGTGTTGCTTCTGATAAATGTGGTATTTGCATTTGCATTTTATCAAATTAAGTCAGAAAGTTTCAACGACACTTTCAAATAGTGGCAAATGTCCTTATAAAGGCATGACGTACTCCTCATGAGCCTCACTGTCTCAAAGAAATTTAAAAGTTAACAAGGGAGTAGAGGAAATAAATTCTAGTGTTTTTACCTTAAGTTTCCTTTACTCTTTTCCTGAAAGCATAATACAGATCTATAATAAATCTACAGTGAATTCTGCCACACACATACCTTATACTACAGGATATAGTAGCATCCGTTACATTCAAACACTTTAAATATTATGCATATAATTCATGAAGAGCATTATTATCACGGGTACATTTAAGCAGGTTGGTGGACTTGGGAGCTTGGAGGGGGAAGGTAGAGACAAGGAGGGAAGCTGGCCCAGAACAGAAATGCAAGCTGCATGGCATCATTCTTAGACTTCAGGTAGAAGAGAGTCAGAAACTGAATTAGCATGCAGACAGAAAGGTAGCTCGGAAAAACTTGGAAGAGACTCATTAAATAAGATAGCCACCGTAGTTTTACAGAAAAGCATTTCCATTCACTTTAAAGCATTTGGACTGTTTTTCTTTTGATGCTTAAAATGGATGATGTTGCAGAAACCTAACCTTTAAAACCTTACCTCACTAAAGTAAGGCTATAGGCAAACATATGTCTAAATAGCAAGGGCCATGACTTTCTCCTGTTGATGAGCAACTCTAAAGTAAACACGTTGTCCGGGTCCCTAGTGAAGAATATGCACAGATTTACATCAGTGGAGACAGTAATTATTCATAGACTATTTCAGTAGCCCTAAGTACTTACACATATGAGTGGGTAAGGATAATTCTATAAGAACTAGAAAGATATTCTATCACCTTGCTCACCTAGACTTTCCCATCACCACAATGAACTATAGTTTTGGTGAGTGACTCTCACACTGGCCCCGCAGACAAGCAGGCAGGAACTACTCTTTACCATCCCCTACTACAGAGTGGTGCTAAGGCCAGGCACTTTAAACTGGCTGCCAATAAACAACTAATTAGAACCAGAGGTCAGCACTTCTGACATTACACAGCATGCACCAACAGAAGGAAGCAAATGTGTGCTTCGATTTCTAAACAAGCCTAAAATTCCACATCCCGGACTGTAAGAGAAGAAGGGCATTAAATTACTTTCAAAGTCTCCCTGGAAAAAGTCATCCAAACCCACAGCTTAGGAGAGGAATCTCTGACTTCGCCTACACATGAAAACGCAAACTATCTTTCTACCTGATTTTCGGAAACGGTTTCCAGACTCAGAGGAGAGGAGGAAAAGTAATGACGTGTGGTACAGTAAGAGAAGAGAAGGAGCCATGTTTTCCAAGGCACAGGGAATCAGCACCAGGTGACAACTCCCCCGGCTTGCTTCACATGCTCAGGCCGAAGGTTTGCCACTTCTGCTCTAGGCCTCAGACGTTTGCAAGAAGTGATTAAATGCAGAAGCCGTGCAGGTGGGAGGGGCGACCGCCTGGGACAAGTCCGCTCACCCCTTGAAGGTACACTTGTGGCTTGATGATCCCGGGGTTGGAAAAGAGGCTGTTCACTGCCTTGGTCAAGAGGAGTTTGGTAGAAGGACTCATCTTCACAGCAGGGAGAAGGTAATTAGAGTCAGCTTTGAACTGATGTCATTTTTAGCCCTAAAAATCTTCACAAGTATATATTAAAGAATTAACAAAATGTTGATGGAGCTTAAAAGGACTCTTTGGCTACTTCACAAATAATGTCTAACCCTGCTTTCTCTCTTAAAAAGAAACATTCTTTTTCTGAAAATTTATTATAGTCATCTTCCTTCCCAAAGAAAAATTATAAATTAATAATCCATCATTTTCATACCATTAAAAACCAAAGCAAGATTAATGTGTGACTTTTATCATCAACAAAAGACAGGAAACCAAATAATCAACTAACCCTGTTTAGAATATTAAAGTTTGAACGACCAATTTAAGACGTAGCTTACATTGTTACATTGCTAATAGTAGTTTAAAATATTCCCAAGTAACACATATGGGTTTTACCTAAATCCTAGCATAACAGCTCACCATGCTTTTACTCAAAAGTAAAAATGTATGCTGTACTTGGTTCACATTTCATTAGAATGCACATTAGAAGCTTCATGAAAAACCGTGTTAACTGTTGCCATTGTTATTTAACAAAACATCATGAGACCCCAGGGCTCAAAGTAGGATGTCAAAAGGGCAGCCTTTTTGCTTTCAGCTTTACAACACATTCGGTTTATCAGCCAGGTAACTTTCCAAATTAAAGGCACATTTGTTTCTGGGGTTGAAACTTCTAAACAGCAAAGTTGTTGATAGCGCCATAGTTAGGGCAAAAGCACTTATAATTGTGCTGAGCAAGGCGCCTGGCATTCTTCTGCTGTAAGCAGAACACCCGGACTGGCTGTCTGGTTCTGTACGGTTCTCTGCTGCTCTTTCCTCGGGATGGGGAATTCAATATACGGAACAGAAACGAAGTCAAAACACTAGTAATCGATATTTGTAAATTGTCTCTGAAATTAGTGTGAGGCATGCATTCAAAATGTGCATATATTTATAAAAACTATATGATGGCATGATATGTCTACACGCGAAAGAAAATTCCCTAGTTGTAAAGAGATTATTTATAATCATATGCTTTCTTGGATGGGGATGGGTTTGTTTGGGTAGAGACACTTAAGGAAAAGGAAATAGGCATGGATCACCTTATCAGAGAATAACAAGGGGAGAGCAAATGATTAAACACGATCTTGTCAGAATTTGAGTTAGAAACCCATGCACTGTGAAAGGCAGCACGTATCTTACAAAGAATGCTATTGATTTCAAAACCATAACTATGTACCTCATCTCAGAGCAACACATCCAGACAATGACTCAAAAGGAAGAGCAAGTTACCAAGAACAGCCTGAGGTGCTGCTGAATCCAGCTAGTAGGAAGCACAGCTTGCTGCTGCACTCTGATCGCCCCCAGGCATCTCTCAAACCCTGGGTCAGTGTCTATTACTCATGCAAGGTGTTTATTCCAAGGAGTAGCTTTGCAGAGTGACCGCTCTGCAGATCTGACTTGCAGCAAGACGGCCTTACCCCAGCATCTAACTTTAATCACATGCTAATTTTCAGTTACATAAAATTATTTTAAATCTACTGCTTCTTGACATTTCTTTCCTTGAGAGAAAAAAAATCTTTTGATTTCCTGCATGTCTGAGGCATGATTTCCATCTGTGAAGATGCATGGGCCTAGATAAAGGCAGTCAGTTCACTGTATGGTAATTCTGTAGTTTGCTCCATTAAGGTTTACAGGGATTCCAGGCTGAGCTCACACTTACCCAGCCTATTGCTCACAGTTTGCAAGGAACTGACAGGGCTATGCAAACAGACTGTATACGATGTGATACCAAAAAACCGGCATGGAACTCTCTTAGGGCCCTAAGACTCTTATGACCAAGAGCCACTGTATGGATGGGTCATTCCATTACTGAGCACGTGATGTGCACATAGCAAATGTGAGTTCCGTGCTTCCAGTCCTCAGGAACCCAGAAATCAGGGAGACTGCAAGAGGTCCTGGCTATGCTAGAGTGAGGCTTGCCCACTGGGTGTGCCATGACTGCCATTTTTGCAGGGGCAGGGAAGTCAGACACATTTTATGACACATGGCTTTACTTTTTTTTTTTTTTTTAATAAAACGTGACTGATCTTTTTAAATAAGTTAACATTAACTTTTCTTTATTTTTAGCTTTTTAACTCTAGTAGTTGGAATCTGTAGGTACAATTAATTAAGAAGATGAGCCTGGGTAGCTTGTTAGGAAGAGTGAATGAATCATGTTTCGAGTTATAATTTTTCGCTGAAAACTAGCATAGGAAACTATATGAGCCACAGCTTCAAGTCAACACCACTTTTCTCTACTAGCTCTGTGAACTCAGGTTAGACAACTGGTTATCTCTGACCTTTAGTCTCTCCAAATGAAAAATGCAACAGTTTTGTTATTACCTATATACCTAATTAGAACAACTGGTACTCAACTTCTGCAAAGGCTTACCAACTCAACAATGGAAAAACAAAAACTTCTAGAATTTAAGACTTCTTAAACCTTATGTATGTGTTTAGTGTGTGTGTGTGTGTGTGTGTGTGTGTGTGTGTGTGTGTGTGTGTATGTGTGTGGTGTGCTTGTACATGTTCCATGGCATATGTGTGGAAGTCAGAGAACAGCTTCGTAAATTTAGTTCTTTCTGTCCTCCTTTATGTGGGTTCCAGGGAATCAACCTTGGGTCACCAGGCTTGCCCAGGAAGTGCCTTTATCTGCTGATTCCTTTTTGGGCCCCAGAATATAAGACTTATATTATAGATAGAACAAATCGCTGCTTCACAAACACATTTAAATGAGTATCCATGAACACAAGGAGGAGAACATCCTTTAAGAAAGTATGTTTTTCTGATATTTACCATTCTTACTTTTAATTCTTTCACAATTGGGAGAAGCAGCTATGAAAATGGTTGGAATATGGCTGCAATGAGATGTTTATTTGTCAGGATGGAGGGGTCATGGCTTCCACACTGGATCCTACCTTGGTTGCAGGTTTTTCCAGCGAATCCGGGATGACACTTGCACTTGTTCGGCCCGACGCACTCTCCGTGTTTGCACTGTGGCTGACACACAGCTGTGGAAAGAGGACCATGTATGTCAATCTCAGGTCATCGGAGCATCTTCCAGTAAGCACCAGAGTCATGGACCAGTGTGACGAATCAAAACTAAGAACTAACAATAAAGTTATAAAACCACTGTTCCCTTCCACTGTCCATACTACAAACATGCATGCATGCTGTGATGGTTTGAAGAGGAATGGTCCCCGTAGACTTGTGTTTTAATGCATGACCCATAGGGAGTGGCACTATGAGGAGGTGTGGCCTTGTTGAGGGAAGTGTGTCGCTGTGGAGGCGGGCTTTGAGGTCTTATGTGCTCAAGCTGCACCCGGTGTGGCACCGCAAAGTCCTTCTGCTGCCTACAGATCAAGATGTAGAACTGTCAGCTACCTTTCCAACACTATGTCCGTCTACACGATGCTATGTTTCCCACCATGATGATAATGGACTAAACCTCTGAACTGTAAGCCAGCCCCAATCAGATGTTTTCCTTTCTGAGAGTTGCCTTGGTCATGGTGTCTCTTCACACAATACAAACCCAAACTAAGACAGAAGTTGGTACCGGGGCGTGTTATTGCTGTGGCAGGCCTGACCATGCTTTTGTCTGGAAGAATGTAGGCTTTGAGGCTTTGGATTAGAAAAGCAGTTGAATGTTTTAAGTGGGGCTTAATGGGCCATTCTAGTAGGAACATGGAAGACAGTGGTGTTGACTGTGATTTGAAATGTGGGGGCCCACCTCAAGAGTTTTCTTTCAGTGGAGAAGAATGTTAGCATGTGGCCTAGAGACTGTTTATGTGATATTTTTGTGAAATATGTGGCTGCTTTTTGCCCTTGTTTGAAAAATCTGCCTGAGACTAAATTGAAGAGTTTTAAATTAATTGCTTTGGCAGAGGAAGTCAATGAACAGCCTAGTACCAACTCTGTCTTGTGGTTATTAGTGTTAACTCTAATGAAGATCTATGATGAAAAGGAGCGAGAGGAGCAAGGAAAGTTACAAAATGGACACTATGAGGAGAAAAGGGGACCGGGAAGTGAAACAGAGCTAAATCCTGTGTTCAAGGCGACTGCCGGATTAAAGAAAATGCTGATGTTAAATGAAACAAAGGGAGTGGTGACTTCAGGGCAAGACCCGACCCAGATAAGGTCCCAACTTATGCGAAGGAATTAAAGAAAAGTTTAGGGCTGAGTGTGGTGGCTCACACCTTCAATCTAGTTTCTCTTAGAGGCAGAGGCTAATGGATCTCTGAGTCCAACCTGTTCTACAGATTGAGTTTCAGGACAGCCAAGCTTAGGCAGTGAAGGAAACCATCAAAAACAGAAAGATGGGGAAAGATGGAATTGAACAAAGGGGCCATTTTTTTTCCCCAGCCCCAGCAAGTAGTAGAACTTGGCAGCTTTGGCAATGTGGTTCTGGCTGTAGAGGCAAGGATGTAAGAAGTTATGGATTTTCTCTATGAGACTAAGGAAAGCCACTAAGGCCGGGTGTGTGGTAGGAGGGTCCCTGCATGGAGGCCCCGAGAGACCAGTGTATGAAGTCATGAAGGTGAAGCCTAGCTTTCCTTGGAGTCCTCAAAATATGAGATGTCTGAGTCATGGGATACCTGCTGAGGAGAGCTGCTAACAAGAAGTGGAACCAGCTCCAGAGAAAGAAGTGTGTTGCACTCAAGGAAGATGAAAGGAGTTGGAGACCTGAAGGGGATTTATCATATATGCAAATATGTTTACATATGTCATTTGAGACTGAAAAATGTTGTCAACTGAGGATACACAAATAATTAATAAAGGTAATATATAGCTTTACAAAAATGTTCATACACAATTTCAAAACTTATTCTCTCAAGTACACATCAACGAAACTTAGTCTGAATTTACTGGTTTATAAGAACTCAATATAGCTTTCCAAGCTAGGGATGTGACTAGGAAAAGCACTTCCCTAGAATTTGGGAGACCCTGGGTTTGATCAACAATATGGTCAAAAAACCAAAGAGACATAACTTCTTATTAAGTAACAAAATATTTATTTTATGGGCAATAATAGTCTGAGGATAAGTTGGTTACAAGTGAAACAAGCCAAAATGAAGTCCTTCAACACTTCTGTTCACAGATATTTTCATCATCTTGATCTCTCTTAACCCTGACATGCATTACCGTTTCTCTTCAATTTATAGTAGCTTCCTGTATCTCAGCTAAATTGAAAGCTTCCTGTTTAACCTTATTCCTTTCTGCAGTTTAACCATATCCACTTCTCTCAGGAATCAAGTCTTCTCTCAATTCGGATAACAAATTGGATAAACAATCCAGTTTACCCTGTTGGGCTTGTGCCAGTAGTTTTTCATGGGTATCTTTTGTATATTCAAGACATGACTGGGCATATTTTCAGTTCTGCTAGCATATACAGCATACATCCTACTGTGTTCAGACCGCCCACTCACAAACAAATTAGCCAAAGACACCAGAATATCGGGGAACCAAGGCTTGGAAACACTGTCCTACTATACCCAATATGTTCATGATGGTCAATATTATAATAGATGAAAATCTCACAATCTATTTAAAGAGACAAAACTTTCTCGTGTTCCCTTTTGAAAGAGAGAGAGAGAGGAAGAAAGAGGGGGGGGGGGTGTAAATATGTGCATGTGTGAATGCAGGTTCCAAAGAGTCCAGAAGAGGGCATTTAACTTCATTAAAGCTGCACTTAATAGGCTGTTATGAGCCACCTAACACGAGCGTTGTGAACGAAAGTTGGGTCCTCTACAAGAGTAGTCCACACTCTAAAAACGATGATCCATAAACACCCCAGCACCATTACACAAGTTTTCAACTCAAGAGAATAATCATGTATGAGCATAATGGTTAGCAAATATGGGCTTGAACAGAAAGCCTCCTAAAAACACATGTGCTGCACCTAGAAACATGGGAACAGAGAAGGAAGAAAACTCCCCGTGGAGAAGAAAAACGTGTAGCAAAGTTGACCATAGGGTAGTGGAAGGTCACTCAGGAAGCCTGGGTAGCTATCAAAATGTGTAAATGCTCATGAAAGAACAGGAAGCAATTATTCATTACTGGTCTGGGATGCTGGTGTCCTAAACTTCCAAACTGAGGCATGTTACTCTGTCTGCAGGAAATTTGATGAAGTTTCTGATCGGGAGAATTACTGGATAAGTATTAAAGCTGTGAGTATACTGATGTGGTGAAATGGAAATTATTCAGAGGCGAAGGGAGCGATCAGATTGGAGAAATTATAGATCAGGCTTATGACAGGAAGAGGTGAGCTTCGGTGTCCACTAGTGGAAAGCAGAGAGGCATGCTCAAGGGCAATGCAGTCAACCATGCCTCTGTCTTCCGAAGCACTGCACACCCGTTCCTTCCCATACCAGCCTGCCTTTGCTCCGTTCTGGGATGTGCTTCCAGTTTCCTCTGACAATTCTCCAACATGTCCTTTGAAACTCTTGCAAACCAGCACACACCCTATGTCTGCTTTCTATGCCCCCTCAGTCAACCTCACCTAGCATCCCACCGGCTTACTTGCCAATGTTACTGTCAGCCTATGGTTATGCCAGTTAGGTCTTCGTGTAGATTCAAAACCTACAAAAAGAGGATGGGCAACACAGGAAAGTACTTGGAGACTTCTTAAACTCTGATTTCATAGAGAAAGAAATGGGTTCATCTCTCTGAGAAGTAATGAACTTTCTAGAAAGCCTTGCAACATTACTCAGTGAATGGTAAGTAGTTTATACTGAGGGGAGTTTTTAAGGGAAGTCTTCCAAACATCCAAGCCTCATCATCAGGAAATCCAAGATTGAAAAAATTCATTTTAAAAGGAAATATTGACTGGGCGTTGGTGGCGCACGCCTTTAATCCCAGCACTCGGGAGGCCGAGGCAGACAAATCTCTGTGAGTTTGAGTCCAGCCTGGTCTACAGAGCAAGTTCCAAAACAGGCTCCAAAATGATACAGAGAAACCCTGTCTTGAAAAAAAAAAAAAAAAAAAAAAAAAAAAAAAAAACAGAACAAAACAAACAAACAACAACAACAACAAATGGAAGTATTTTAAGGCTGGTAAGATGTCTCAGTAGGTAAAGGCACATGTCACCAAATCTGAAGTCTGATGACCTGAGTTTGACCTCAAGCACCTACATAGGAGAGAACCAACAACTTCCCACACACTGACCTCTGACCTCCACACTCACCATGGCATGTGTGCATGCATCCATAAATAAATATTTTAAAAACCTAGAGAGAATAATTCCATTGATTGTAACATTTTTATATATGAATGTAACCTAAACAAGTCTCCTGCAGAATGTTATATATTCTTTAAAAAGTAACATGACATATTTGTGAGATGTAAGTCAAAGCGAGTAACTTCCTAGAGCAACTGGAATGTGAAAGCATCTGTGAAAAATAGGAAAAGGTATCATTACAAACAGCACTTGCAAACTGAGGCTCACTCAGAGGAGGGCACTCTGGTACAAACTGGGGCCTCCAGGTTGTATTGCCTTTGGCCTCTGAGCAGCTGAAGGCCATCCATTCAGTTTTCAGGGGCTTTCTCCTCACAAAGGGCTGTTTGAGCCTCTCTCCTTTTTTCCTTTGTTCTCAGCAGGATGCCCTAATCTTAGGTCCATCAAATGTACACATTCCAAGGGGTTAGGACTGCTAATGGTTCTGCTAAGTCTGGGGACTCAGTATTTTAAAGAAAACTGTTGGTGCATTTCTACCTGAGATAACCAGCAATTTCAGATACCCAGCAGCTATTAAAAGTGTATTTTTTAAAAAAAGCAATTAGAGGGCATTAAAACAATACACACAGAGCTGATATGAGCAATTATTTTCTTCACTACAGAAAATTAAAACTCTCTACACAATTTTTCATAAAAAGATTTTTCCCCCTGATCTTGGTTTTAGGTCTGGGATAGAGGTCAGTAAAGATGTATCAAACAACGTGTATTACATTCAATGTATTAAACTACACAAGTATGGATGGGATGGGGGGGGGGATGGAAGATAAGAAACTAACC